AAACCACCAAGGTAAATAGAACTTTCACAGAAGACAGGAACTAAACTATGAGAGTAGGCTGCGCGCTAGCCTGCAGAGCGCACTAAATCTTGAAGTACTACATGCTCTCAGTAAGAAATACTGATGCAAAAAAGTAACTCCGAAGAAAAAACGATAAACAAGGAATTGCACGACACGTAATAATGAACGCTACACTGCGTCCGAATTGGTTGAGAATATGAGTGAATTAGATAATGAAATCAATCACTGTCCGAAAATTATCAAAAAGGCAAGCTGAGGTCGACAGTTGAGATGACTTCAGCTGCCTTAATTCAATGTTGTTATACAATATGTGATCGCTGATATGCAGCGGATCCTGCAGAATTAATGCTAAGGAGAAGATGAATAGTAAGAAGATGTAAACATTAACGTGCAGGTGGTAACTGGGATGATCGAGACCTACTGGACTATTTAGACCACTGGAGAGCCCTGCCGCCTCATTTTGTTCAAAATGTATTAATCACTATGTACAATGAATAACTTGCCTGATGAACTGCTGTCTGAACTGGATGATGATGATGAAGTGCTTTCATGACGTCGTTTCTTCCGCTTCTGAAATTTACAAGGACCTAATCTGAGATGACTCACAGAAGAAAGCCTGTAGAGTTTGGAAATAAGCGCCCCTCCATTCTACCAGCAAACATCATTAAAGAGAACGGTTATTCGATAGAAAGTAAGGTTCACCGTAACGCTACAATTAATATGGAGTGACCCGATTAGCATCCAGATATCAAGAGCAAAAGTCGACAATGATCGGAATCTAGCTATCCCAGAGTCATTCGGCCAAGGAGTGGCACTGTCAACTACAATTCCAAATATTTATCAGTGATCTGAAATACCTTGTCCTTGTCCGACTTTTCCTTCATTTCCTTTTTAAGCGTACTTAGCAACGAATCCCCCGCACTAGCGACCGGCGCAGCGAGAGCAGCTCCGACCACATCGGTTTTCTTCATACTAAAAATGATGTGATTAAGCAAAAAATCAAAAAATATGTTGGAACCCTTTCAAAGGCTCAATGTATGACAAACTCTTGAAAACAAACGGCCAATGAAAGAAAAAGTAAAAATTGGCATACTTTTCCATTGACTTTCCTGGGACGAAGTCTTTGCTCAGTCCTAAAGCGTCCCTCATTTTGTCGCGATTCTGAAACGTCAACTCAATCAAATCTATGGGTTCCCTCAAAACAATAACAAATCCATAAAAGGTACAAGCTGCACAAAACAAAACCATTTTCGTCAGATGACAAAGGTGCTACCCTAGGACCTAGCCGAGGAGGTAATTGAAGGTCATCGAAAATTCCTCTCCATCGCCCTGTGGGTTGTTTTACGCAATAATATTCATATAATGTAATTCTAAAGTGAACCTCAAGGCCAGCACGATGAATGAACCCCATGCAAAATTCAGGGTTGCACTATGTACAAGGGGATCTAGAATCAATACTATGATTTGATATACCTAAAGTGCGGATTCACATGAACAAAGTGACAGCAGGAAAGAGGGATCTGCAGGACGTGTAGCCACCATTTGAAAGATGCCCCAAACTTTTCATCAGTAATGAAGGAATCCGAGGCAAACGAGACTAACGTGATGAATGCAACCGAATATTGAAATCCAATGATCACGTTTACAAAATCCACAAAGTACCTTTGCAGCAGCTTTAGCCCTGGCGTGCGAATCTCTGGTGCCAAGCTCAGCATCCAAGTTGAGCTCTCCCGACTCCAGCTGACTTAACAGGAGTTTCCGATAATCCGAAACCTTCTTTTGAATTTCATCGTCATCGAAACCCTGTAATAGAACAAGAAATTATTCGCAGGATCTATTTCCAGTACGCTTTTCAAGTGAATACCTTCTCTTCCATGAGCATTT